TCGGTAAGATATTTACATATTACATTGCTACCAAATTAAATATTTTAATTATTTCTTCATACAGATGCAAATACCGATCTTGAACTTAACAGCGGTATTCTGATTGCTGTTTCAATTCTGGAGAATGAAGCTGCTGAGGCAAAAGAAATACATAACGCAATAGAGAGTTCTTTAAAAGAAATCGCGTAAATATATTGTTTTTTTGCTATACTTGGTGAATAATGCAGAGAGATTTTTAATCCTCTTGTATAAACTTCCTTATACTAGTAATAAAGAAATTATAGGCAAAAATATAACACTGTATTTACTTAAAAGAGTGAACGATATTACTCGTGGTAGATCTTTAAAATCAAGTAAGAGTAATTATTGTAAATTCTTATTTAAATTTATCTCATTATTTTCAATACCTTTATATTAGATATTGCATTAATCAAAAATAATGTTATGGTTGGAAGCCTGATTGCAAAATGTCTTGCGGAGTTTGGTTCCAGCAGCAAAAACATAAAAGAAGTGAGTTGGTGCTAAATTTGTCTTATATAAAAGAAATAAAACTTCTATTTATAAACACAAAATTTACATAAAAATCGGTATAATTTATATTAATTTACAGGAACCAACAGAAAAGGCAGATTCATCATCAGTAAAGTAGTTTTTTATATCATTCGTAATATTGTATCTGTATTTGAATTGATAATTCCTTTAATATCTATAGTTGTTAATATTTGGTGGTTCTTCTATGGATATAGCTTCGACTCTTGACCCGGTTGAATCCAAAAATTATTCATATTATTACACATCATCTCCAGACAATCCACCGGAGAAGTTAGGAGAAATAATGCAGAAACAGCGTACAATCGGAGTGCAAACCCTTTATTAATCTCAGCTATTAGCAATGATTTATCAAAGAGCTGGCTAATTGAGAACATGAAAAAAATTGGAATGTTATAGGAATTGGTTTTTGAGTTTTGATTTGATTATAAGTATTACTGTATTAAGTTATAAACTTCTTTCTATAGGATACTAAAGGTATAAAATTGTAGAAAATCAAAGAACCGCAATATACAATGCAATAAATGATCCTTATGGTCAGCTTATTTGTGCTGTTGCTGACATGAATATATTCGATAGTATATCTTCAGAAAATG